TGCCCTCCAGCAGATCAACACTCCCACCCAGGGGGTGCAGGACAACCCCAGCGGGGGACACAGCCCACCCCATTGCTGGGGGCTCCCTGCCCTTGCCCCAGCCCCACTGCTGCTCTGGGCCTGGTTCTGCACACAGTCAGGTTTCCCCAAACTGAACAAATTCCCGGTGTTTTCTCAATGTTTCTCCTACTTGTAACGTGCTCTGCTTCCTCTTTCCTTTTCTTTTTGAGGCCAACGCGAGACAAGCTCTCCCACCACAGAAAGAAGGGCAGCAGATGGTCTTTGCCTTGTGCAAATCCTCATCCCAAAACAACATCCAAGGTCCTTGAAACACCTCGAGTGAAGGAGGGACCGTCAGCACCCACCCTGCAGCCCCTTGGCGCCCGCTCCCAGCTGATGCAGGCAGTGCCATGGAGGGAGAGGCTGATAACCAGCGGAGCGTGTTGAACCTGGTGGCTGCGTTTGAAGAGCACTGGTAAGGAGGGAAGGTCCTGGGTGCTGTGGGTGCATTTGGGCTCTGTGCTGCCTGGATTCTGGATAGAAGAAACCCGCCACAGAGGTGGTTTGGAGGCTGTGGAGGAGCTGACAAAGGGATTTGCTTCTCTTTAGCACTCAGATCTGCCCCAGTGCCTTCCTTCTGTACACAGAAGACTGAAAACCTCAGTGGGATGTGGCTTTGCTGGAAGTGTCTGTGCCTGGCTCGGGGTTTCCTCTGTGCTCAGCACCTTTGCATCAGCCTGGCTGGAGAATGCTTTTTCTCCTGCTGCTGGGGAAAAAGGATTTGGGTTTGCAAATATATGGGCAAGGGTTTTCACTGGGAATTAACTGCTTGAGAGTCTGGGAGGATCCAAGCCTCAGGCACCAGCCTCAGACTGTCCAGTTGTTTGCAGTGATGTGGCTCCTTGGAAAGGGAAGAGAAAGCACCATGTTAAGGGGAAGAGCCAGTTTCTTTTGGGCTGCACGGGAGGCCCATAAAGCAGCACCTTCACTTGGAGTGAAGCGAGTTGGGACCCTCAGACAGCCTGTCCCAGGGTTGGAGTGAGGGGACCTGCCTTGCCCCTGGTGTGGAAGTGATTCTGAGGCTTGGGGCAAGTCACTGTTATGGTCTGTGCCTCAGTTTCCCCATCTATTGGACCAGGATACCAAATCTTGCCTTTCCTTGTGTCCTCTCAGAGAGCCTTGGTGAAGCCAGGTGGTTGAGCCAATTGGTTCTGTGGTGGAGGTGGTCAGGCACAAGATTTCCTTTTGCTCCAGGAATGTCACCTACGTCTCTGCTGCTTTGTCCCCAGCTTTATGCTCTGGATGGCTCCAGGGCAGTGGTTGTCCCTGTGGTCCCACAGTTGAAGTTTGCCCTGTGATGCTGTGGTGTTGGAACCATTTGTGGCAGTTGATGTGCCTCCGTGTCACTGCTGCAGAGTGTTTGTTGTTCATCATGAAGCGTGAATTGGATTTAGAGGAAATAGAAGTAACTTTTGACGTTCAGAGGAAGCTGAGGTACCTGGAAACAAGTTTTCTGGAACAGAAAATGGTTTAGCCCAGGTCAGCACAAATCGAAAGAGAGAAGTTCCCTGCTGGATCTCGGTGGTGGGTTTAGGCTGGCACGGTCTGGGAGGCACCAGGAGATGAAGCCTCCCTGCCATGTGAAGGCTTATGCCATCCCCATGGACAGGAGGGGATGTGAGCATGGCTGTGGATGCACTACCAAGCTCACAGATCAGTGTGAGGATGGACCCATCATCCTCTTCAGAGGAGTGTCTGCCCCTCAAGTCATCTCCTATCCTCAGCTTTGCAGTTTTATGTCCAGTTTCATCCCAGTTTTCCCTTCCTCCTCATCCCACTCCTGTCTGCAGGCCACCAGGGAATGTCGTACTAGTTTCTGTCCAGAGCAGTTTGCCACAGGGACCAGCTCTCAGGTGACAGACAACTCACTGTCATGTTCACAGCCTGTGCCCTGCATGTCTTCTGCCCTATGCCTGCTTTGGACCTGTTTTCCTTGTTTTTGCCAGAAAGGAGAAGAGAAAAAAACACCAAAGAACTACCCCTCTGCACAACCACCTACACAAGCCTCCTCTTGGCTGACACCTCTTGGCTCTTCGGCTTTTAAAGCCTCATGCCTGAGGCTGCTGCTCCCCACTTCAGCTCTGCAATGGCAGCAGGCAGAGAGCCAGAGCTGTGCCAGCACCACAAAGTGCAGGGTTATCCTTTGGGAAAGAAATGGCTGTGGGTGGGATAAACAGCAGAGTCGTGTTCTTCTAGAGCAGAGCCTGACCACATCAGCAGGAGGCACTAGGAGAAGAGAGGCTGGATCCTTGGAGGATGTATGGGCTCAGACCCTGGTTTGGGGAGCAAAGCAGCATCAGCTGCTTTGTGTCTTATCACCTTCACTTGAGGATGGTGGCTTTAACCTGGGAGCTGGGTGGACCACACCATGGGGGAATGGGTGAGCTGATCACACTAATTCCACTATGGCAGGGCCTGGAGGGACAAGCAGGCTCCACACATCCAGCCCACTCCTGCAAGCAGCCAGTCGCAGCGGCTTCCAGCACCTCCAGCCAGCCAGAGCCTCTCCCAGATGGATGCCAGGCACCAAGCGGAGCAAGGGAACAAGGAGGAGCAGCAGCAGGGGCAGCGCGGGCTCAGCTTCAAATGCCTCAGTTCCTTCTGGCACAAGATCAGTGAGGACAACTGGAGGAGGCAGCAGGAGCCCGGGCTCGAGCCTGGCAGCAAGGTGAGCTCTGGAGCCAGGCTGGGTTGGATTGGAGCTGAAGGTGAGCTCCGAGCCAGGCTGGGTTGGATTGGAGCTGAGGTCTCTGCAGGCCCTCAGCAGGTCTCTGCCCTGCAAGGGCTGGTGTGTGGGGTGACACAGAAGTGGCCCCTTTCCTGGTGCTTCAGGCACAAAGTCCCCATAGTCAGTTAGGTCCAAGCAGACCTTGTCTCTTCCAGCTCTGATATAACTACACCATGGGGTCAGATCATAGAACCCCAGACTGGTTTGTGTTGGAAGGGACCTTAAAGCTCCTCCAGCTCCAACCCCCTGCCATGGGCAGGGACCCCTTCCACTAGAGCAGGTGGCTCCAAGAGCCCCTGTGTCCAACCTGGCCTTGAACACTGCCAGGAATGTGCAGGCGAGCCCAGCCAGGTCCATCTCAGGGCATGCCCAGGGCTGTGCTGCTCTTTGCTGACTGCAGGCATGTTTCTGCAGAACTGCATTCAATTCCTTGGTGTGTCTGTAGACCAGGGAGTTGATCCACCCCACGCTGCCCCACTTCTCAGGATCACTAGCCCTGCATTGCTCCAGGAGAAACAGGCACAGAGAAGGGGGTGACTCAGGAGGACATGAGCCAGGCTTCCCAACAGCCACCAGGCAGCTTTGTTTTCACCCTTGTTTTCACTGCATGCCTTGTAGAGATCCTTCACTTGACAGGAAGGTCCAGTTTGGTGCTGGGCTGTGGTCTCTGAACACTGGGAAATGGAGCTGAATCCTCTCAGGTTGGTGGGGATCATGTCTCTGCCCATGAGATTGAGCTTTTCTCCCCATGCAGGAACCAGAGGAGAAGAAGATCGCTCTGGAGCTGCTGGAGACAGAGCAGGCATATGTCAACCGCCTTCACCTTCTCGACCAGGTGAGCTGGGAGCAGAGGGACCCACACAGGGAAGCAAAAGCCCTGCTCCCATCTACCCCACCAGCACAGCTCGGCCACCCCATGCTGATAAACCACTCAGGGCCAGGGCACAGCTGCACACTCCCCACCTTTCATGTACTCCTCAGCAGGGCTTGGACCCTGTGGCAGAGCCCAGGCTCAGTTCAGGGTGTGCAGAGACCAGGGAGTGGTTACTGGAGATTTTGGAGAGAACGAAGCTGTACAGATTGGAGCCATGCTGCGTTCTTGGTCTTCATGACCAGAGTATGGGTCTGGCCCTCCATGGAGCACTTTTGTCCCAGCAAAGCTTTCCATTCCCCACGCTTCTCCCTTGGGGCTTTGGATTTCCCTCCTGCACAGTCAGGCCCTTTCACTGGGTGATGTGCCAGTCTCAGAGAGGGATCCTCAAGCCTCTTCCTGACCCATTTGATTCACCCCTTCTTTCTTCCAGATATTCTATACGGAGCTGATGAAAGAAGCCAAAAATGGGAAGACAGTCCCAGAGGAGGTGGTGAAAATGATCTTCTCCAACATCTCCTCCATCTACCAGTTCCACTCCAAGTTCTTCCTGCCAGAGCTGCAGAAGCGCATGGAGGATTGGTGAGCTGCGCTCAGGATACCTGGCTTGCTTTGCCAGCATGGGGGAGCAGGGAGGAATTTGGGTTTCCATCAGGACCAGAGCTCAGCCTCGTTTGCTCCAAATGTATTTGTGCTCTAAAGCTCTTCCTTAAAACACTCCAGCCCAGATTGGAGTATTTCTGTAAAGGAGTGTGTGTGTGTATGTGACATCTCAGGCTACAAGCTGAGGACAATCCTATTCTGGGAAGCATGAAGTTGTTTGGGCACACAGTAGGTCACACTGGTTAAAACCTCTGTCCTCCACCATGCACAAGCCACCCCTTTGCTTTACCCCTCGCTGTCTGTCTGTCCCATTGCACTGAGGTCCCTGGTTCCTTCCTGCAGGAGCTGCAACCCGCGGATCGGGGATGTGATCCAGAAGCTGGCACCATTCCTGAAGATGTATGGTGAATACATCAAGAACTTTGACAAGGCCCTGGAGCTCGTCACAGTCTGGTCAGAGAAATCACCACCCTTCCAGGAGCTCATTGCTGACATCCAGGTACCGGGTCATGGCAGCAACACTCCCCAAAATCTCCTTGCAAGGGGAAGCAGTAGAGGGTAGGAGCTGCCTTGGTCACTGTTTCTGGTCACTGTTTTTGGTCACTGTTTCTCTCTCCATGTCTGGTGTCTCTCCCCAGAAGAGGAAGGTCTGTGCTAACCTAACACTGCAGCACCACATGCTGGAACCTGTGCAGAGGATCCCACGCTATGAACTCCTCCTGAAGGATTATGTCCAAAAACTGCCTCCAGAGTCCCCAGACTGGGATGATGCAGGGAGTAAGGGCTCCCTCTGGCTCTTCCCGTTGTGGGGAGCAGCAGGGTGGATTTGTAGGGGAATAACCACCCCTGATGTTGTTTGTGCGTGGGCATCAGGATACCTGGATTCTCTTGGATAAACCTCTTGCCTCAGTCTGACCCGTTTCTAGCAGGGGGACCCTTGCAGGGTCTGTGGAGGTCAGCGGGGAGAGTGGGTGGTGGTTCAGGATAAGGATGGT